GTCTGGCTCCTCCACCGGCAAACTGGAGCAGTGCAGGGAGGAGCTCGGCTGCCCCCGCTGCTTCCACGATGGACACGTGTCTCCCTGGAAACCCATCACCTGCTCTCGGGATATTTGGCCGAGCTTCTTTAAAAAGTCGGTTTTTTTACCTTTAAAGATTCCTTTTTCTTTTGCCTTTCAAAAGTTTTTTTTTTTAACAAGCAACTAAGCCAACGTAAAAAAGATAAAAGCCCAAAGTAAAAATAAAATAAAAATTAAAAAAATAAAAAATCAAATGGAAATTAAAAATAATATAGAAATAAATTTAAAATAATATAAAAATAAATTCCAAAATAATGTAGAAATTAAAAATAAAATATAAATTAATAAAATAAAAATAAACCAGGGTAAATAAATAAATTAAAAAAAAAAAAGCCACATCAATAGGGAAGGATGTCGGGGAGGGGCAGTGGTGGGGCACCACCAACCCCTTCACTGCCACCTCGGAGGGGTTTGTCCCCCCCTGCCCCACCTGGGGGTCCGGGGATGCCGCAGGGCTGGCTGAGGGGTTCGCCTCGGGAGTCACTGCTGAAGCCAGAGGCAGGTCGAGGTGCTGCTGTGTCCTGCGGGCGTTGGGCAAAAGGAAGGAAAAGCCGCATTTTTCCACAGCACTGAAATTTCTTTCCCAGTTCCTGGGAGGAGGGAGATGATCAAACCCAAACGCTTCGCTGTGCCCAGCTCGGCCCCTCTCCCTGCCCCAAAGCGCGGCACACACGGAGCAAACCCCGCTCTTTCCGCTGTTACTCCCGTGTCGGAAAAACGAGTTTGTATAAAGCTCACAGCTCTGGAGGCTCAAATTGCCCGTCGGGTCGAACAACACAAGCGAAAACAGACCCGCCCCCGCCCCAGGGCTCGCAGCACAGCAAGGGGTAGGATGGAGTCCCCGCTTGGGGGGGCCCAGGGCTGGCACCAAAGCCCCCCGAAACGGAGAAGCAGAGGGGTGAGGATGTTTTGATTAACAAAAAGCCCGAAGATCGGTGGACAGACACTGGGAGACAGAGCAGAAGCCAGGGAATGCAGAGGAAAAGCGCTTGGACTGGGAGGGAATAAAAGGCCAGGGGTTCCTTTGTTGGGAGTCCTCCCCTGAGGTACCAGCTCGGGTTGTTTCTGTGTCACTGTGCCGTGAAGAAACTGCCTTATGGGATGGGTCAGGGAAGAGAACGGAGCTGGGAAGGGGCTGGAGCAGCAGGAGCAGCTGAGGGAGCTGGGGGGACTCAGCCTGGAGAAAAGGAGGCTCAGGGGGGACCTTCTGGCTCTGCAGCTCCCTGACAGGAGGAGGGAATGGGGGGTGTCAGTAACATGTGACAGATTAACAAGTGACAAGGTGAGAGGAAACAGCTTCAGGTTGCTCCACGGGAGTCTGAGATTGGATATCAGGGAAAACTTCTTTCCAGAAAGAGTAATTAGATATTGGCAGGGGCTGCCCAGGGAGGTTTGGAGTTCCCAGCCCTGGAGGTGTCCAAGGAAGGACTGGCCGTGGCACTCAGTGCTCTGGGCTGGGGGACAACGTGGGTGTCGAGCACAGGGGGGACTCGAGATGGTCTCAGAGGTCTTTTCCAACCTCAGTGAATTTGGAATTCTGAGACATCTGACATCACTTCTCCTGCTGGGACAGAAGGTGGGGATGGAGAGGGAAGAGCCAATCGCCCCCCTGCCCCTGCCCTTGCCACGGCTCCCAAGGTGAGAAAGGGCCAGATGCCCGTGTGGCGGCGGGAGTCGGGGGAGCTCCTCGGAGCGGGTGCTGCCTCCCCAGGGGCACTCGTGGGGCTTCTCACCCGTGTGGGGGGAGCAGAGAGGGGGCAGCGCTGCCACAACGTCCCCCACGCGCCTCCCGGCAGTTCCCGGGGAAGGGCAATCCCTCGGGAATTCCCAGAGCAGGGCGATCCCTCGGCACCTCCTCCCAGCCTTCCTCCAGCGCGGGCCGCGGGCGCCACCGGGTGCCCGAGCGCTGCCGTCGGGTCCCGACAGCAGCACAGCCCGACCCGGATTTTGGGGGGCACTGCCCCGGCACAGCAGCTCCCATGGCACAGGCGGGGTCCCAGCCCCGCTCACGGGGGCACCGGGAGTCCCCATAACCAGCCTAGCGGTGGGGCAGGAGGGTCCCCGGGACATGGCTTTGTGTACCCCAAAAGGGCCAGTCCAGAGCCCAAGAAGTGCCATAAAGTTATCTAAAGGGGCCGCCCTGAACCTTGACAGAGGGCGGCAGCACCTCCAAAGGGCTCCCCAAAGGGCACCTCCCAAGAGGCCCCCTGTTCCCAGAGGAAACACCCCGGCCCTGGCACAGGATGCCAGCACTCTGGAGGCTTGGGGAGGTTTCTGGGGCAGCAGGTGCTTTCTGAAAAAAACAGAAGGGGGTCCTTTATGGCTCAGGGGTGTTTTGGGGAGTGCTGGCACCCTCTGCCAGAGACTGGGGAGTCCCTCTGGGGGCCCAAAGTGCCCAGCTGGGGCTCCCCGCTCCTCACCAGCCCCGGTGCTTGGAGAGTCCCTCGGCGCCGGGGGACTCCCGGTGCCCCCGTGAGCGGGGCTGGGACCCCGCCTGTGCCATGGGGGCTGCTGTGCCGGGGCAGTGCCCCCCAAAATCCGGGTCGGGCTGTGCTGCTGTCAGGACCCGACGGCAGCGCTCGGGCACCCGGTGGCGCCCGCGGCCCGCGCTGGAGGAAGGCTGGGAGGAGGTGCCGAGGGATCGCCCTGCTCTGGGAATTCCCGAGGGATTGCCCTTCCCCGGGAACTGCCGGGAGGCGCGTGGGGGACGTTGTGGCAGCGCTGCCCCCTCTCTGCTCCCCCCACACGGGTGAGAAGCCCCACGAGTGCTCCTGGGGAGGCGGCACTGGAAGTTGGCCCGCTCTGAGAAGCTCACCTGGCACCTCCATAAGCAGCCAGTGCCACCCACGGTGCCCACGGAACACCATCCTGGGCGTGGACATCAAGTCCTGCGGTGACACGGCCCCCAAAGAGAACTGAGTGGGACAGTGGGAGTCCTTTCAAAACCAGCCTCGTGGAGCCCTGGGCCAGAGAGCTCGGGATGGAGCAGGGGGATCATTCTCCCTGTCATGGGATAATTCCCAGCCTCTGGGAAAGGTGAATGGAATAATGGACTGTTAAAGACCGTACTGAGAGCAATGGATGGTGGGACCTTCAAACATTGCGATCTACATTTAGGAAAGGCCCGTGCTGGAGCAGTTCCTGAAGAACTGCAGCCTGTGGGAAGGACTCACACTGGAGAAGTTCATGGAGAAATGTCTCCCGTGGGAGGGACCCCACTCTGGAGCAGGGGAAGGACCCCTCTCCCTGAGCAGCGTCAGGAATGTGGGATGACCTGACCATGCCTCCCATTCCCATTCCCCTGCATCACTGGAGGGAGGAGGCAGAGCCTGGGAAGGAGGGAGGGGTGGGGCAAAGGGGTTTTTAAGCTTTATTTTACTTCTCATTCTCCTCCTCTGTTAGTAATAAATTCAATAAATATTGCCACGTTGGGTCTATTTTGGCCATGACAGTGATCAGTGAGTGGCCTCTCCCTGTCCTTATCTCAACTCCTGAACTTTGGGCTGTATTTTCTCTCCCTGCCCAGCTGTGGAGGGCAGTGATAGAGCAGCTGTGATGGGCACAGGGCATCAGGAGGGTCCAGCCCACCACAGGGGTGGGCAGTGTGCTGGTTCTGGCCAGGACAGGGTTAACTTGTGCAGTTGCAGGAGGATCAGGACCTGGGTTATTGATCCCACCTCAGCCACGTGCAGGGGGATGGAGTCCGGGGGGTTCTCCCCAGCTTTCCAAGATGTGGGGTCAGATGGTTCTACGTGGTGAGGGATCACCGGGGAATCCTTCCCTGCCTTGCACACTCTATTGTTGGTGTTTGGTACTGTTTATTTTCTTATTTCGCTGCTGTCTCTGGTTAATTGTTCTTATCTCAACCCCTGACCTTTACCTTTTTAGGCTTCCACTTCTCTTGCCCGCCCCCCTGAGTGCTCTGGGGTGTTTCAGTGGGAACATTAAATGAGGGGATGCCATTCCTAAAGCACCACAGGTGTACTGGACATCCCTCCAGGGGAAGGAAAACGGGGGCCTGTACTCTGCTGCCAGAGGAAGGAGCTGACTAGGAACTGGCTCTCTAGTTCCCATATCTCATGGATGGGGATCACAGGGTCTCAATTCCATCCTTGTGCCCAGCCTGGCCCCTCTCCTGGCACGGAGGGGCAGGGGAGCTCCCACTGCTGCCAGCTCCCTGCCTGCCCCACACTGCCCCAAAGCACAACAGACACGAGCAAACCCCACTGCTTCCAGTGTAGAGAAAATGGGTTGGTATAAATCTCACAGCTCTGGAGGCTCAAATTGCCCGTCGGGTCGAACAACACAAGCGAAAACAGACCCACCCCTGCCCCAGGGCTCGCAGCAGAGCAGAACTGGGATGGAGTCCCCGCCGGGGGGGGCCCAGGGCTGGTCCCAAAGCCCCCGGGAACGGAGCAGCCCCAGCCCCCGAGGGGCTCAGAGCCCCCCCGGGGTTCTCCCCTCTCTGGGGGAAGGAAGGACACGGGAGCAGCCCCGGCAGGAGCTGCATCAGCTGCAGAGCTCGGCTTTGCAGAGGAACAGCAGAGGGGTGGGGACACACAGAGCAAGACCTCGCAGGAGTCACAGAATCCTTCGGGTTGGAAAAGCCATCTGAGACCATCGAGTCCAACCATCCCCCAGCACTGCCAAGGCCACCACTAACCCGTGTTCCCAAATGCCACATCCACAGGGCTGTTAAATCCCTCCAGGAGTGACTCCCCTGGGCAGCCCTTCCCATGAAGAATTTTTACTCAATATCTCACCTGCCCCTCCCCTGGCACAGCTGAGGCCGTTCCCTCTCCTCCTGTCCCTGTTCCCTGGGAGCAGAGCCCGACCCCCCCCCGGCTCCCCCCTCCTGTCAGGGAGTTGCAGAGCCAGAAGGTCCCTCCTGAGCCTCCTTTTCTCCAGGCTGAGCCCCCCCAGCTCCCTCAGCCTCTCCTGCTGCTCCAGCCCCTTCCCAGCTCCGTTCCCATCCCTGCACACGCTCCATCCCCTCAGTGTCTCTCTTGGAATGAGGGGCCCAGAACTGCCCCAGCACTGGAGATGCCCCAGCAGTGCCAGAACAGGGATGGGCACTGCCCTGCTCCTTCTGCCACATCACAGCTGGTCCTTTCAAAGAACCATGGAATACCCTGAGTTGGAAGGGACCAACAGGGATCATCCAGTCCAACTCTTGGCCCTGTAGAGACATCCCAACAATCCCCCCAGTCCCTCAGAGCATTGTCAAAACCCTCCTGGAGCTCTGGCAGCCTTGGGGCTGTGCCCACTGCCCAGGGGAGCCTGTTCAGTGCCAACCACCCTCTGGGGGAAGAACCCTGTCCTGACATCCAACCTGACCCTGCCCTGGCACAGCTCCAACCAATCCTCAGGTCTCATCACTGGTCACAAACCGGAGTTGCCCCTTTCCTGCCCCTCATGAGGGTGTTGAAGGCCCCAGTGAGGTCTCCCCTCAGTCTCCTCCAGCTGAACAAACCAAGTGCCCTCAGCTGCTCCTCACATGGCCCCTCCAGACCCTTCCCCATCCTCATGGCCTCTTTTGGATGCTCTCTAACAGCTTTATGTCCTTCACATTATGGTGCCCAAACTGCCCCAGTGTTGAGGTGAGGCCCCAGGGCAGAGCAGAGTGGGACAATCCGCTCCCTGATGCCCCTAGGACAGGGATGTCCCTCCTGGCTGCCAGGGCACCGCTGACTCAGGGCCAACTGGCACCCACCAGCATCCCCAGGTGCCTTCCCACAGCTGCCTTCCAGCCTCTCATTCCCCTATCTGTCCATACATCTGGGATTGTCACATCTCCAGGGGCAGAATCTGGCCCTTGCCCTTGGCAAACTCCACATAGTCAGTGGTTGCTCATCTGATCTGTCCAGGTCTCTCTCCCCTCCAGGGAGTCAACAGCTCCTCCCAGTTCAGTGTTGTTGGCCAAGTTACTCAGTATCCTTCAAGTTCTGGGGTGAGGTCAGGTCAGGTTACCGAAGTTGAAAGCACAGGGCTGAGAATAGAACCCTGTGGAACCCCACTGGTGACCAGTGTCACCTGCTGCCACCCCAGTCGCTGTCAGCCTTTGTGCTCAGTTGCTCACCAATCCGGTAACAGTTACCCAGCTGTGGGCTGAGTCTGTCCAGCAGGATCCTGGAAGACAGTATGGAAAGCTTTGCTGAAGTCCGAAAAGATTCCATCTGGGAATCTGACGTTGCCCTGTCCCAGAAGGAAATCAGGTTGGATAAGAAGGTCTTTCCCCTTGCTGCAATCAGTTGTCCTCCAGGTGTTTTTCAGTACTTCCCAGAATAATCTTTTCCATGATTATCCCAGGCACTGAAGTGAGACTGACAGGCCTGGAGTTTCCAGGGTCCTTCTTGCCCTTCTTGAACATGGGGACAACATTCTCCAGATTCCAGTCAGCTGAGAACTCCCTGGATTCCCAAGACCACTCAAAAATCATGGGGAGAAGTTTTGTGATGACATCAGCAGCTCCTTGAGGATTCTGGGATGAATCTCATCAGGCTCCATAGTTTTGTAGGGATCCAGCTGGAGCAGCAGATTCCCCAGGATTTCAGGCTCCCCTTGGAGTTGATCATTTTGCAGTCACAGTCCTGCAGCTCAGGGCACTGAGGCCTCCTTGGTCCATCATCCATGTTTGAAGATAGAGACAAAGAAAGGGTTAAACCCCTCTGCCTTGTCCCTGTCCCTGCTGGTGAGGTGACCACCCTCATCCTGGAACACGATGACCTCATTTCTACACTGCCATTAATACATTTGAAACTTTCTTTCCCATCTGGCAGCTTCCCAGCCCCTGTGCCCCAGGCCTGTGGCTCGTGGGGGGCTGTTGTGCCCAAGTGCAGGACCTGGCACTTCACCTGAATCACCTGTGCTCACCCAGAGCACCCTCTGGCCGTGCCCAGCCCCAGGGGGATCAGGAACCACAAAGCTCTGCCCATGGAACACCCTGGAAGTGGACAGGAAAAGCAGTTTCCTGACTTGCCATCAGTTGTCTTCAGGGGCCACATGTCTCTGAACTGGCCCCCCAGACCCTCCCCACACCAGCTGTCCCCTCCCCAAGCAGCCAGGGAAAAGGCACCAGCTCCAAGAGACTTTTTGGGAAGCTCATCCCTCAAACCAGCCCCTGCAGGGACAGCCCGAGGACTGGGGTGTCATGGACCCCATCACTCTTCCCACCACCCAACAGCTTCAACCCCAAATCCTGCCACCCTCCCAGCAAGCAGGGGGAGGTTGGCTGGTGGGGGAGGTGGAAGAAAAAACACTGTACAAAAACAATTATTAAAAAGCAAAGTGTGTGGCCACAGCCGCTGGTTTAACTTAGAAACGCTTCACGTGGCCCAGAGGCTTCAGAAAAACCCGAGAGTTGGTGGCTCTCATCCCCCCCCACCCTGTCCCACCCCCTCTTAAAATTCCACAAAATCAAAGTTTCACGTTCCACAGAGTTTCCCTTTTTGTAATGGTGGTGGTGGCCTTGTTTGTGGGTCACTGTGGGGTTGTTTCCCCCTGTTCTTGCTTCCTCTTTTCCTCCTGGCCCTCGATGTGACCCCGGCACTTCCCACAAAGCCCAGCACACACCAAGGGACACACAGAGGTGACACTCCAGGGTCCCTTCTTCCGCTGGGACGGTGTCTGGGATGGAGAGGGAAGAGGCCAACAGCTCCTGCACAGGGGCCTCCTCGTTGCCCCCCTGTCCTTGCCATGGCCTCCCAGATCTTGCCCGCGGGCACTGGGAGGGGGCAGGGGACAGCGAGCACACCAGGTAGAACGGGCAGGAGGCTGAAGAGACACAGGTCAGGAGGCAGCTGCTGGATGAATCCCGGGTGAGGAACCAAGGAGGAGCCTCCAGCCGTGCTGAGTGGGAAGAATCCCAGGAAACAGAAGAGTTGGGGACAAGAGAGAAGGAGGAGCAGTCCCGAATCCACAGTTTCCCGCGCTGTGCCGGTGGGGCTCCCCCAGCGGGCACAGGCTGCTCACAGTTAGCTCGGCCTCTCTGCTCCCACAGTCCCTGCACACGGAGGGGCTTGGGGCCCCCTGGCCCCCCCAGCTCACATCATGACGTGCCGCCGGCGGTGCAGGGCCAGGTGGTCGGAGCGGGAGAAGCTGCGGTCACAGTCCGAGCAGCGGAAGGGTTTGATGCCCGTGTGCTTGCGGAAGTGCCGCGTCAGCTCGTCTGAGCGGGCGAACTTCCAGGTGCAGCCTTCCCATGTGCACTTGTAGGGCTTCTCACCTGGGGGGCAGGGCACAGAACGGTCAGCGCTGCCACAGCAACACCCATGTGCCCTCCGGCCATTCCCAGGGAACGACAATTCCTTGGCGCCTTCGAAGAGCCCTCGCTGAGCCCAGGGATGGACCACACGTGGCCCCAGTTACCAGCACCCCAAAAGGGCCAGCACAGAGCACAGGAGAGACAAAGGTACCCTGACATAGGGTGCCAGCACCCTGAGCTCCCAAAGGGACTCCCCAGTCTCTGGCAGAGGATGCCAAAACTCCTAAAGGGCCACCCCTGAGCCCAGGGATGGACCACGCACGGCCTTTGGTACCAACACAGGGCCCAGGTGCCCCAAAAGTACCTAAGGTGGCCACCCTGAACCCTGACAGGGGATGACAGCACCCTGTGTCTACAGAGGGCACCTCCCAAGAGTCCCCTATGACCCCAGAGGAAAGCCCTCAGCCCTGACACAGCACTGTGAGCCCCTAAAGGGCCTCTCCAAGGGCCCCTCTCTGTTTATTTCAAAGGGCCCTGCACCCCCTGAAAGGCCTCCCCAAGTCCCCAAAGTGTCCCCTAGCTCTGGCACAGAGTGTCAACACAGCAAAAGGTCACCCCAGAGCCCAGAGATGACTCTCCATCACCCTCCCAGCCCATCCCCGGGTGCCCCCAGCCCATGGGGGTTCTGGGGACACTGCCCCTGCTCCCACCTGTGTGTATCCTCCGGTGGGCTTTGAGGTGGGAGCTCTTGGTGTAGACCTTGTTGCAGCCCTCGAAGTCGCACTGGTGGATGCGCCGCTTCTTCAGGTCGGGGGAGTCAGCCCTAGGCCCCCTCACCGCCGGCCTGCAGGAGGAGGGAGGGCTGGAGGCACAACGCTGGCACCCCTGGGCTCTGCGGGGCACCCAGGCAGCACAAACAGGGAGGGGAGGCACAGACAGGGCGAGACTCACTCTCTCTGGAGGTCCTGGAACGGGGCTGGGCCGCTCTCTGAGGCGCTGTCCTCGCTGTCGCTGTTCATGTCCATGGGGAACACAGAGCCCGGGTCCATTTTCACAGGTGGGGTCCGGGATAGGAAAGCTGTTGGCACACAAAGAGGGAAGGGGTGAGGCTGCTGAGCACAGAAGAGGGACACCCCAAAAATCACTCACCCCTGTAGAATCAAAACCACCATCCTCCTGCTCCTGCAGGGCTCCAAACACTCTCCGTCCCCCATGGAATCAAATCCAATTGGGCAGATGGAGAAGTGCCCAAGGTGGGAAACAACTTGGGGGGTACCCTTTTGGCTGCCTGCTCCTGCCCAGAGGAGGGCACATCCAGGGAACGTCCTGGGAAAGGGGACTGCGGGGGGCACAGGGAGCAGGTGAACTGAAACCAGAGCTGCTGGCAGCGGGCAGCCAGTGGGAAGGGCAGGCAGGCTGCCAGCAGCAGCATGGGTGGAGGACAGGCAGTGCCATGCCCTGCGTGTCCCCGCCCTACCCATGTCCCCTGAGGGGCACAGGCTGGGGGCTGAGTGTGAAGGTGGCACACAGTGCACGGGTGGGAACACCCCACAGTGGAAAAACCTGATTCCTTTAAAGAGTGAGGTGGGACAGACGCCTCTCCCGCCCCCCCCACCCCAAATTCCAGGGCCGCCCTTACCAGACCCCGCGTTCTTGCCGTCACCCCCGATGAGGGGCACGGTGATGGCGGTGACGCCGTCGGTGGGCACGGTGGTGTAGACAACAGGCAGCGACTGCACCACCACGGGGATGGTCTGCAGGTTGCCCATCTTGCTGGGCAGGTTGACGGAAGGGATGGTGTGGATGACGTGCAGGATCTGCTGCCCGCCGCTGCCCTGCGTGGACGCCAGGATGGAGCCGGGTGACAGCACGGCCGGGATGGCCGACGTGGAGCTGAGCCCCGAGGGCGGCATGGACACGGTGGTGGGCGCGGGCAGCGGCGGGGCCACCAACACGGGCGAGGACTGCACCGAGGAGGGGGGAGCAGGTGGTGGCGGCGCTGCCGCCGCCGAGGCGGGAGCCGCCTTGGACTTGTTGAGCGAGAGATCCACGGGCTCAGCCTGGGGCTGGCTGCAGTCGCTGGCCAGCAGCTCCTCGGGGGGCTCCGTCTTGATGTCCGCCAGCAGCACCGGCGGGTCGAGGGGGCCCTCGGCCAGCAGCGCCGACGAGCTCATGGCGGGCGTCGCCTTCCCCTGAGAGAGAGACAGAGAGAGACGGCGTGAGGGGAAACTGAGGCACCAACAGAGCGAGCGAGACGGTGAAGGACTGGGCGCCTCAGGCGGCGCCGGGGGCCAGGCGGAGCCGTGAGGGGGGGGCGGGACCCGCCGGGAGAGGCCTCGGCCCCTCCCGGCGGGTCCCGCCCTCCCCTCACGGCCTCGCCCGGCCCCTCACGGCGGGTCCCCTCACGGCCCCTCATGGCGGGTCCCGCCCGTCCCCTCACGGCCCGGCCCCGCCCCGCCCGCCTTTGTGCCGACCCAGACCCCGCCCTACGGGCGCCTTAAAGGGGCCGCGCCCACCCCCCCCCACACACACACACCCATGAGGAGGTCACTCCCTTTCCCCCACGCGGAGGGGCCGCGGAGCTCAGCGACCCACCCGCGACCTGCCCGCAGCGCCATCTCGACACCCCCGCCCGCCCGCCCTCTCCCTCCCTCCCCCGCCGCGAGGTGAGGTGCGAAGAGCCCCGCGGCTCCACCCGGGCTCGGCCGCGCGGGTGGAGCTTTTCTTAAAGGGGCCAGCGAGGCACCGGGAGGGGACCACCCTGCCCCACGCACCCACCTTCCCCCGCCTCACCCCAGGGCTGCACTCCGCGACACAGCAGCGTGGACCAACAGGGACCCCCAAACCCCCCGCGACCCTCCCACCCCCAAGACACGCGTGGGGTGCCCGGCACGCGGCGGCCACGGGAACCCCTCCGCAAAGCTGCGTTTCGTCACCCCCTACAGTGACCCCCAGACCCTCTGCACCGACCCCAGGACCCCCTACACTGAGCCAGGACCCCCTCCCGGCACGTACCTGCCCCCGCAGGTCCGTCCCCGCCCGCGGAGCCCCCACGCACCGGCCCCGCGCGGCCCCGCCCCGCCACACCCAGCGCCGCGCCCCGCGCACACGGCCCGGCCCCGCACGGGGCGGGGAGAAACACACCCCTCTCGGAGCGGTGCCCAGCCCCCGAACCGGCACACACCCCACTCGGACCAGTACACACCCCACTCGGACCGGTGCACACCCCCCCAACACCAGCACACATCCCCCCGACCGGACACCGACCCTCGACACGCGCACTCCCACGGGCACGCCTCGGAAGGACACCACCCCCCTCCCCCGCAAAGCACCTCCACACTCCACGCACACAGCCAGGGACCCCCCCAGGCAGAGCCAGAGACCCCCCACGTATGCATCTGGGGACCACCGAACCAGGAAGGATCCCCCCAGACAAAGCCAGAGACCCTCTCTCGTACCCACACGTTCACCTGGGGACCCCCAAACCACCAGGACCCACCCCGTGCCCCGAGACACAGTCAGGGACACACCACCCCCCAGTACCTACAAATTCACGTGGGGATCCCCAAACCACGAGGGATCGCCCCCTCCCCCTGACACAGCCAGGGACCCCCCGGACACACCCCAGTACCTACAGATTCACCTGGGAACCACTCCAAACACCACGTACCCTCCAAAACAGAGACAGAGACCCCCACATATTCACCGGGGGACTCCCAAACCACGAGGGACCCCCCCAGACACAGCCACACACAGCCAGGGACACCCCCAAATAAAGCCAGAGACCCCTCCCCACATATTCACTGGGGGACCCCCGAACCAGGAGGGACCCCCCAGACACAGCCACACACAGCCAGGGACACCCCCAAATAAAGCCAGAGACCCCTCCCCACATATTCACTGGGGGACCCCCGAACCACGAGGGACCCCCCCAAAACAGCCTCAGACACACAGGGACCCTCCCAAACAGAGCCAGAGGGTCCCCAAGAAGAGCCACAGACCCCCCCCTGCCAGTACCCACATATTCACTTGGGGACCCCCAAACCACCAGGACTCCCCCCAACAAAGCCAGGGACACCCCCAGTATCCACATATTCACCTCGGGGACCCCCCACACACAGCCAGGGACCCCCCCAGACACCCCCCCACAGCCACGGAGCCTCAAAACACTCCCTCCCCCCCAAAACACCTCCTCTCTCAGCCAGGGACCCCCAAGACCCCCCCCAAAGCCAGGGACCCCAAAACACCCACCTGAAGAATCATAGATCACCAGGACCCCCAAAACAACCCCCCACAAGCGGATATCCCCCACAAACACCCCGATTCAGAGCCAGTACCCCACAAATACCCCCCACGCTTGGCCAGTGCCCCCCAAGACCCCCAAAACGCTGCCCCAGTCAGATCCCCCCAAACACACCAGGGAACACCCCCAGACAGACACACAATTGGCCCCCCCCCGGGGACCCCCAACATGCTCCCAGAGCCCTCCCACGGCCCCCAAACCAAACCCCCGTGCACGAGGGGTCCCCACAAACAGGGTCGGGGGGGGGGAACAAAGGGGAACCCCTTCCTCCCCCGGGAGACCCTCCCCAACCCATTTTTGGGGGGACTCTTGCACCCCAAAGCCCCGGGGGGTTGGAGGGGTGAGATGGGGCAGGGGGTCGTTGTTCCCCCAAATTCCAGCCTTGTTGCCCAACCCCCCATCATCAGTGAATTGAATTCCTCGTTCCTCAGCCCGAGCACACCCCAGACCCACCCAGGCGTGGCGAGGGGGAACTGTGGGACCCCCCACCCCCACCCTACATGTCGGGGGGTGCTGTTCACCCTTCCTTCCCCAATAATCAACCCCCCCACCTTGCGCCCTAAACAGCTTAAAGATGGATTTGGGGTGACCTTGGCGGGGGGGGGTGGGAAAACGCCTTCCACACCCCTCCCTCTCTTTGTCCCCTGCGTGTCCCCACCCCCCAGGGTCCCCCACCCGTGGGCGTGGGGGGGTCACGCCCCGCCGCCACCGCCACACCCCCCCGTGGAATTTCCTCCGCGCTCCACCCTCCGCTCGGGACACGGCGCGGGGGGAGAGGCGGGAATACAAATAGGGGGAATACCTAGTGGGGGGGACACGAGGGGGGAACAGGAGACGGGGACAGGAGGGGGTCAAGGCGAAAAAAGGGGGGTGTCCCTTTAAGAGCAAAGGGCGTGGGAGAGGGAGGGCCGGGCGGGGCCGCCCGCGGGGTCCTCCCGGCCGCGGGGGGGCGCCCTCCGCGGAAGCCCGCGCGGCGCGTGGTGGGGGACACCCCACGCGCGACCCCCGCCGGGGAGGGAAGGGGGCAGAGGGGTACACGGGGGGCTCGGACCCTCCCCACCCACCGCCGTTCCCTCCCCACCATCCCCGCGTTCACGTCCCACCCTCCCCCCAAATCCCACCCCAAAAGACCCCACGCGCGAACCCCCGGTGCCCCCCGGTCCCCCTCACCGTCCCTGTCGCCTCCTCCGAGCGCATCCCCGGCCGCCGCCGCAGCCGCCGCCGCTGCCCCCGGGGCGGTGCCGGGTGGGGCGGGGTGGAGCCCCCACGGGCGGGGAGGGGCCGCGTGGGGCGGAGCCCTCCCCCACCCTCTCCTTTTTTTTTGGGGTGGGGTGCCCCGCCCTGGAGGTGACATCATCGGCAGCCAATGGGCGGCTCCCCGCGCATCCGGCGTTGCCATGGGAACGGACGGGGCTTTTGGGGATGGGGGGGTGAACCCCAACTTGCTCCGACCTCCCCCGCCCCCCCCACGAAGGGCACACCCACCCCCCAAGGAGGGCGCCCCCAAAATCGAGAGGAGGGGGTGCTGCTGAGATCTGGTGAACTCGTGTCAGCGATGGGGGGGAGCAGAAACCCCCCCTTTTGGGGGTCATGTGTCCCCCCACCCCCCTGACTGAGGGGGGGGGCATGCCACTGCACTCCCACCCCAGAGGGGCTTGGGACACCCCTGGGTGCTCTGTGGGGGACCAGGGCAGGATGTGGCACCCTGGGGGGTCATTCCCACTGCCCGCACCCCTCCCTGCCCAATCGCTGCCTCACCCCACAGGTAACCCCCTCCCCCCCAGTATTTGGGTACCCCATGGCACCCCAGCTGGGGGGCACCCCTGTGGCTCAGGGGATTATGGGGGCCCCCCAGGGTGTCGGGGCTGTGGCAGAGCTGGGGGGGCCTCCCCAAGGGTCTGCAGGACAGGAGGGGCTGGGGATCCCCCCAGCACAGCTGCCACCTGGGAATCCACCCCACACCCACCCCACGCTCCTTGGACCCTCAGGATTTTCCAGCCCCTTGTCCCCCGGGATCCTGGCAGCTCCCACTGCAGTGTCCCCACTCTCAGGGTGACCCCACTCTTGGGATGACCCCACTCTTAGGGTGACCCCAGTCTCAGGTGACCCTGGGCTCGGGTGATCCCAGTCCCATGGTGATCCCAGTCTCATGGGGACACCACTCTCGGGGTAACCCAAACGGGGGTGACCCCAGTCTCAGGGTGACCCCAGTTCCACAGTGACCACATCTCGGGGTGATCCCAGTCCCACAGCGACCCCACTCTCAGGGTGCCCCCACTCCTGGGGTGACCACCCTGTCCTCCCCCCTGCACTGAGTTTGCCAGTGCTCAGCTGCTGGTTGGGGCAGCCCCAGGCCGGGTTAATCACCTCCTGACCCCAAAAAATGCACCCCCCTGCCCCGACCCAGCTCATCCCAGGGGTCTTTCACACATGGCCATGTGCCCTCCATCCACAGTGTCCCCCCCACGGGTGACTCGAGGCCACCACGAGTGACCTTGGCTGAGGAGGAGAAGCTGCAGCTCCTCCAACCAGCACAGAGCTCAACTGAGGGGGGGAGGACAGACCCCTGTGACCCCCTTCCCCCACCCCCAGCTCCTGCCAGGCCACCCTCATCTCCACGAGGACAGGCTACCATTGACCAATCTCCCCTGGGAAGTTTTTGGGGACAGAAAAGCTTTTTTGGACCACAAAAGCTTTTGGGGGAGGGAGTTATGTGGTGAGATTTCCCCCCCGGGACCCCCACCCCAATGGCACTGAGCTGAAGGGGCAGCTGCATGCCCTGTAGTGCCAGGGGAGCTCCCAAAAACACAGGAGAAAGGGGGCAACGGGTCATGAGCTTCCCCTGAGGTCCCTGTGGCAGTTGGGGGGCTCAGGGCACATCCCCCACTCCTGCTGTCCCTGGAAGGGCATCCCTGAGGATGACTTTGGGCAGGAGGGGGCAGACCTCGGGTTGTGCTGGTGCTAGGGGAGCCCTGCAGCTCCAGGAGGTCCCATCCCCATGGCACTGGTGCCTCCTCCAGCAGCTCTGCCCCAGCAGGAACTGGGTAGGAAGGGCTCGGGGAGAGCCCAAATTTGGGGGGATGCAGAGGAGGCAAAGGAGCGAAGGACAGGGACAGTCCCCCAGGAAGGGGCTCTGAGGGATCCCCTGGGCTTTGTGACGTCCCAAGGGGAAGGTCCATCACCTCCAGCCTGCTGGATCCAAGCAGCAGCAGCCGATCCCAGGTCCAGGGGATGGACACACCCCCCCGGGGCTGGGCAGAAATGGGGGGGCAGGGAAGGGCCGTGGAAGGAAAGGGGGGTCACAAAGAAGGAGAAGCAGCAGAGCGACGAGGTCCCAGTCCCAGAAGCCCTGGAGCCTCTGGGGCAGCAGCAGCACCTGCTGGGCTCCAGCAGAGGTGGGGGGGGGATTGTTCCTGCCCACCCTGGCAGCAGCAAAATGATCAAAGCACCCCAGAAATGGGTGTTCTGCTGTTCTCCCACCAGCTCAGGTGAGGAGCCGCATGTGGAATATCCCAGATCCCTCCTCCGTGCAGCCATGAAACACAGGGCAGTGCTCTCCAGGTTAACCACAGGTGTGATTCCACAAAACCCACAGGGCCTTGGCCATGCACTATCCTGCCTCTCCCCTCCCTACTGAGCCCCAAATCCACCACATCTCCAGGTCCAACTGCACCAAGATGTTTCCTCAAACCACTCAGCTCCTATGGGAGACATCCTTCCCACTGCTCCATCCCAGCACTGGCTTCCTGGAGGCCTGGTTTGAGCAAACATTTCAGGTGGGCTCAGCTCATCCCTCCAAAGGCAGGTCCCAACCCCTTCCAGCCCAGCTGAACACATCCCACCTTGTTGATGTGCAGAACTCTGGAGCAACCCCAACATCCACATCTTCCAGAAAATTGGACAAAAAGGTGGTAAACTAAAGGAACTCTTGGGGCTCAAAGTGTTGGGATGAACACAGGAATCCCCATGAGCACTGGTGAAGGAAGAGGAGACTGTTCCTCTCCTTACAGCCCTTTGAGACCACCCTGTGCCCAGTGTGGGGCTCCCCAGCACCTCAAAAGCAGGGATGGAGGTACCAGAGCACAGCCAGGAGGTGCTGGGTCAGCTTGGAAATGTTCCCCAGGAAGGAGCCAGGCTCCTATTGGAGATGGTGGTGGCAGGACAGGAGGCACCGTGGGAAACTCCAATGTGTGGATTTTTATTCTTAATTTTAAAATCCTGAGGGTGATGACACAACAAAACTCCCTCCTTGGAGGTGCTCATCTGAGCAAGGCCAGGCCCTCAGCTTCCACCTGGACCTGCCTGGAGCAGGACAACGGCCATGGAGATGGGGCCAGGCTGCAGCTGGGTGAGATCCAGCACCACATGATCATAACCACCCAAAATCACCCCCAGCTCACACGTGGGAAAGACTCTCATCTGGCAGAAGGTCCCACGAGAACTTGGACTTTGAGATCTTGGATCTTCTAAACTCCAGGCCCCTGAGGATGGTGTGGATGTTCCTCAGGAGGTGCCTACAAGCCACAGTTGAGCAGAGCAAGGCTATTGCCAGGGAATTGCAGAATCCATATCCCCCACGGAATGTGCTGGAGGAGCTGGATCCCAGCTAGATCCCAGCGCACCACAGATCTGTGTCCATCCCACCCACCCAGTTCTCCTGGGATAACCAGGTGCTGCTCAGGAGGGAAAAGCAGCAGGAGCACCCTCAGGGAGAGCCCCAGAAGCCAAGCTGACCCTAATGCAGCTCATCACTGCTGACGCTACTGGGACCATCCACAGTCCGATGCAGGAATGGAACAGTCAGAAAATTTGGGAGCAACACCAGGACAAACACAGGGACCCCAACCTGCCCAGCCCCAGGGAACCCACCCTGGGCCCCATAGCAGCTCTGGGAGGAAAGCAACAGGGCCAAGGGGGGGATTTACTCAGGATCTTGGTGGCATCAAGTTTCTCCCATTCCAAGGTCAAGCCCCAACGGAAAAGGACAGATCGCTGCAATCTCACTGAGATTTGGCTCTTTGGTACAGTATGTTTGTGTGAGCAACATCTGGAGCAGCACCAGCTGCTTTTTTCTGTGAAGATCTGCCAGAGAAAGGAGGAAGAGTTTTCCAGGAGTGGGATAAGGATGCTGAGCCTGATCCCCCAAACCTCCCTGCTCAGATCTGGGGAGACAAACAGGCCAGCTCAGTGCTGCTGGAGCATCTTGGTATAAAGCCACCTGTGTTTTGTCACAGGAGGGTTCACAGAGCAGCACCAGCAGCACCTCTGCCAGAGCAAAAGCACAAGGTTGATTCCCAAAATCCATGTATTTCAGGAAGAGAGATTTGCAGCCAGAGAATAGCAGATCTTTAGCCCCAGCACTGGATCACTGAGCCCCCCTGAGGGGCTCCAGGCCTCTGCACACGGGGTTTGGCTCCTGAGCAGCTCCCAGAACACTCTTCCCTCACCCCCATTTCCACCCCTTAACCTTGTCCCGCTTCCATGGGCTGGTTTATCCCCTAAGGAAGCCCAACAGCTCCTCATCTCCATGGAAATGACGCACCATTCCCCCTGTCCTTCCCCCAGCTCCGGCAGGATCAGGGATAACGTGCTGGGATAAGGTGCTCCCAGCAGCAGGTGCCTCAGTCTTCTTGCACTTGTGATTGTGACCCATCTTCTGCTGTCCTGGAGCTGCAAGCAGAGCCCTTCCTGGTTATCCCTTGGAGCTGCTGTTCCCAAGGCTCCAACATTTGGATCAGCAGTGACTCCTCTTGCTCCGCTCAGCAGCATCAAGGGCAGGGTTGGGGGGCGGGAATCCATCACATTCCCTGCAGGATCTGGCCTGGTCCCAGCTGTGGGGGAACTGGAGTTTGCTCCACCCAGACCCGCTGTTCTCACTCCAGGTATTCACAGCCAAGCACAACCCCTCCATCTCCAGTCCATTCACAGTTCCCCAGAAGCTCCTGGACTGTTCACAGCTCCCCTCCCACGGGGCTGATTCCCATTGAAAGCTCCCCCAGCCTGAGCAGCTGCAGGGTGGGCGGTGTGAGACACGGGTGTTAATTCCAGGAGGATGGAGAATGGATGGGAGGGTTTGTGTGGAGCCCCCTCTGTTCTCCAGCCCAAGGTGCCCTTTGGCTCCTCGTCCTCACCCAACAGACTCGCCCTGTCGGATTTTTCCCCTCCCAGTGGATGTGTGGGCAGGGATACAGGGGCACAGCCAGGCTTGGAGTCACCGCACCCTTTTTACACAGTAATTTGATGCAGCAAGAGAGAAAAAAGGTAGAGAGATGCTGCCAAGCATCAGCTCCCACCCACCATGCCAGCAATTCCCAATGAAACTCTGGAATGGCTTCCAGTCAAATCCCCCAAAAACATGAAAGGAGAAATGCAGCTCCCACACATCTGCTTCCCACAGCTGCCTCAGGTTTTGGAAGAAAGCAAAACCACTTTCCAAAGCTGTAGGATCTGAAATCCCTGGTAGCAAAAATTTATTTTCATGACCGAAGATAAGGAGAAATTTATAAACTTATTCCAGCAACCGACCAAGAAACCAGTAAATACTCCATATTCCTGGGACTTAAAATATCCTCCTGGCAGCCAAACATCCACCTGGGAGCACCAGCCCATGGGCACATCACCTGTCCTGCCTCCTTCCCAAGCCCACGGGTGCCAGGGAAGGCTCTGAAGGTCCGCAGTGTATCCAGACATCCTCTGAGCCTCTAGTGTCCGACGTGAAAGGAGAGAAAACAAAGCAGCACACTCATAAAGCCCAACAAAGACATCGACAGTGTTAGATTCTCCTAAAAAGTAGTCCCAATCCACGCTTCCTGCCCCCAAAGGCTGGGCTCAGCGCATGAGCAGGCTGTGCTTTGGGCCATCCACCCTCTCCAGCTTCTCAAAGTGCTTCCTGGCATTGCGGATGTTGATCAGCGTGGCCGCGGAAGCTGCGACGGAAAAGGGACAGTGCAGATAAAACGGAGTTAAAAGGGGGCAGTGGCCACGTCCTGAGGGCAACAGCCCTGTCTGCAAGGTCCTGGTTCATCCTGCTGCCTCCACCATGGGCACAGTTCAGTGTGGGAGGCTCTGGGGAAATCTGATGTGGGAGTGTTTGGGCACAATTTGATGTGGGAGGGTCTGAGTACAATTTAATGTGGGATGGTCTGGGCACAGTTTAATGTGGGATGGTCTGGGCAAAATTTAATGTGGGATGGTCTGGGCAAAATTTAATGTGGGAGGGTCTGGGCAAAATTTAATGTGGGAGGGTCTGGGCAAAATTTAATGTGGGAGAGTCTGGGTAGAATTTAATGTGGGAGAGTCTGGACCCAATTTAACGTGGGAGGATCTGGGCACAATTTAACGTGGGATGGTCTGCACAAAATTTCATGCCAGATGGTCTGGGCAGAATTTAATGTGGGATGGTCTGGGCAGAATTTAATGTGGGAAGGCCTGGGCAAAATTTGATGTGGGAGGGTCTGGGCAAAATTTAGTTGGGATGATCTGGGCACAATTTAATGTGGGAGGGTCTGGGCACAATTCAGTGGGGGGGGGTCTGGACACAGTTCAGTGTGGGGGGGGTCTGGACACAGTTCAGTGTGGGGGGGGTCTGGACACAGTTCAGTGGGGGGGGGGTCTGGACACAGTTCAGTTGGGGTCTCTGGGCACAGTTCAGTAGGGGGGTCTGAGCTGTTTGCTGATCCCAGAACATCATGAGGAAGAGCCCAGTGAATTCCAGCCACAGGGAGAGCTGCACAAGCCCCCATAGCTGCCCATCTGCTGCTCCCCAGCTCAGCCCTGTCCCAGCTGTGCCTCAGGCACACACTCTTCCCTATTTCAGTAACAAATGCAAGGCCAAGCACAGTGTGAGGCACGAGGTGTCCTGGACAGTGTCTCTGGAGCACCTCAGATCCCACCAGGAGCTCCAAGTGAAGCTGTGTAAACAGTTAACTGGTCCCAGAGGGCCTGGGCTGGCACTGCTGCAGCTTCTCCTTTAGGATAAATAGATGCTGCTATAATTAGAGTCCTGTCCACCAAGAGCAACACTCCAACATGATCCATCCCTGCTTCCTCTTCAAAACTCACCGGGGCTGCCAGCCCAGAACAGCCCAAAATAGGTTATTAGACATGACCTGCTAAACCAGGTCACATCTGTTCTGGTGGTTCCTCTCACAGCCACAGATCCTCCCCGTGACAGCAACAGCTCAGCTGTCCCAGCACGTCCCACCTCTGCAGTCAGTGCTCACCCACCCTCCCCACCCCACTCAATCCCTCTCCTCTTCAGTTTTGTAATTAAATCTCATTTTTACAGTTGAAACTGGACTCATTTTGGCCTATTGGGTTTTTTTTTTCCTGTCCTGAACAGGCTTATGTTGGCTTCAACTTACGTATGGAAGGGTCTGACATCACCACCATCACATATGTGTTGGATGTAAAGATGTCAATGAAAGCAGCAAAGTTAGAGTTCCTGACCTCCATGCTCTGGAAAGAGGCTGCCAGCTTACTGGAAAAGTAGAAATAAAGGGAAAAAAAGTCAATTAATTATTCCTGTACCATTGTAGCTTTTGTGCCCACATGGCCAAAATCCCTTATTTGAGCTGTTGGGAACAAAGAGGAGCTAGAATTCCCATTTGGCAGGGAAAACCAGGTGTGACCACAGCAGGGTTGGTTTTTAAGGACACAACTCTTTAGCTTTGGGCTAAATGAGAACAGTATAAAGTGATTTATGCATTGAACAGTGAAGGAAGCTCCAGACACACAGCCTGGACACTCTGGAGGACCCAGCAGAAATAAGGATAAAACTGGAACATCTGGAGACATCAGAAACACCTGTAAACCATGCAGCCACCTCTCCATCCACCCAGGCTCCACACACTGCCAGGTATAACCAGGCTGCAGAGCCCGGAGGCTGTTCAAAGCCAAGCTGCCCCAAAGCTTTCCACTTTTCTATTCAAAATATACAGATAAATAAACAGTGCCTGGAAGCCTCTTCCTCCCCAGCCAGCCCAGGGCTGGAGCAGAGCTCTCCACCTGACATTCCAAGCACTGTCACTGATTTATCCTGGAACTTTCCTCCCTTGCCCAGGAGAAAACAGCTGTTTCAGAACAAACAAATCTCTTCAACCATTAGCAAAGGAGGAAGTTCAAAAAGCAACACTTAAGTGAGCTGTGCTTAAGCCCAGTACAATTGCACAGAACTGGGATTCACTGCAGAGCCCCACCAAGCCAAAATCCCTGCTGAGGTATCTCCCCACTCCTGATCACATCAGCTCACCTGCAGCTCAGCTTGAATTGTTTGATGATGTTGCTGATTTTCTCAAACCTGTGGACATCCCTCTGCTCTTTGCACTGATAGTGAGAGATGACCTGGAGAGGGGGCAGAGTCAGTCAGTGATTCCAGCACAAGTCCCTCAGTGCCAACAGCAATTCTGGGAATGGGTGGTGACCAGGATTCCCTTTGCCTTTGGCTGATTGAATCTTGGGAACTATTTGCAACAGCTCTTGTGGTGCTTTCACGGAGAACAGGAGTCAGTAACACAATCACCAGGGAGCCTTTTTCACACACACAAAGCCTGTCAATAGGGAATTGTCCACCTGAGGTCTGGGTGCTCCAACTTAGCAGCAATTTAAATCTTGATTTAAAGTAAAAGAATGTGCAAGGAGAAGGAAAAAAATGCAACCTCGGGAAGGGACACCTGCCAAGTGCTGGGATGGCTCTTCCCTTCTCAGTCCCAGGTGCTGTGGATTCTCAGGGGCTGAATCTGAGCACTGCCCATCCTGCACAGACAGAGCTCCCAGAGCCAGAGCAAGCTGTTCCTCCTGGAGAAAAGCAGCACAAAGGCAGCTGGATTCCTCACTTCTGTCCCCATCAGTCCAGTCAGACCAGCACTGAGCTGCCTCATCCACAGCACTTCCCTCCTCTTCCTCCCACACAAACGCAGCAGCAGCTGCAGGATTGGACTGAACGTTCAGGGGATCTGAAGCCTTTCAGGAATCCTTGCAGTGGGATCTCTCCCCAAACCTTCCTCCCCAACTCTTCCCTCCTCAGCCACATCAGGAACAGGCCAAGAACTGCATTTACTGCAGGAGGGAAGGGCACGAAGAGCTGCACCATCTCCATTCCCCCAGCAAAGCAAAGAGGAATATTTAAAAATCCTGAAGCCACGTGTTTTCAGCTCTTCAGAATCACAACATCAACTGTTACTTGCCGTGCCCTTGCACAAGGATGTGAAACTCTGGAGTCACATTTGTGACTTGGGAGAATTAATATTTTTTTATGTTTTTTTTTTCCCTCTTTTTGTCCCTTAAGCACCTTAAAACGATCACTCTTTAAACCTACCCAATTATTCACACCAGGACAGGTTTAGCCAGATTCAAGGGTTGCATTCCCACTATGATTTGAACACAATTTCAGAATCAGGTTTCCAGAGTAAGATTCCACAGTAAGATTTTCAGAGTTAAGATTTCACTTCAGGGGAAAAAAGTCCTGGGGGCTTTTTAATGTATTCTATACATATATGGAATATATTATTCTATATGAATATATATTATTATTCATATATTTAATAAATGTATGGAGAAAAGGGAGATGAGTCTTTTTAAAAGTCACCATTACACTGAAAATAAGAGCAGAAATTTTGTAGCAAACATTATTAATTTTCAGTTAAAAATGTCCTTGTAACAATCACACTGTTACACACCCCTGTAAGAAATGGTGGAACTATTTATTATCTACAAGAGGTCACAAAGCAGAACTTGCCAGACATGGCAGGTGTTTGCTTCTGATAGTTTAAGAAGGGGGAAGAGTCGTGGCTCCTTTCCCACATCCCCTCCATCATTTCCAAATCACCATCAAGGAAAGCACTGAAAAAAATTCACTCATTCCTTCAGCTCAGCAAGAGTTTTGGGGTAAACACTGAGGAGCCAAATCCATAATCCAAGAGTGGGGACGGACAAGCAGCAATGGTGGTTTTAAGCAGCACCTTTCACCTGCAGGAGACAGGGACCAGGAGCACAAGAACCTGGAAAACCATTGCAACCCAGTGGCTCATGATCCTTTATCCATATCCTGGCTTTGCAGAGCACCAAACCCAAAAGAAATTAAGTTCCTCCACAGCAGGAGGAACTGAAAAGGTTTCTCTTTCAAGCTAAATGAGGTTCCTGCCCTGTGCAGAAAGGAATTCTCAAAGAAGTCCCACAACTAAGAACAGAATGGGGACATGAAACACTCTCACAGCCTGGAAGAGGGAAACACCAATAAAGCCTCAGCTCAGCTGCTGGAAGGGGGAATTTTGGGAAGGTCCCATGAGCCACAGAGTCATATCAGCTACTTTCAGTATCCCAAGGGCTGGATCAAACAATTCTGCATGTGGGGCTGACACCTCCCAACAGCACTTCCAAGAATCCCAGAGTGGTTTGGGTGGGAAGGGACCTTAAAGCTCATCCCATTCCACCCCCTGCCACGTGCAGGGACACCTTTCACTAGTACAGGGTGCTCCAACCTGGCCTTGGACACTTCCAGGGCTGGGGCAGCCCCAGCTTCTCTGGGCAACCTGTGCCAGGGCCTGCCCACCCTCCCAGCCAGCAACTCCTTCCCAATATCCCACCTATCCCCGCCCTCTGGCACTGGGAAGCCATTCCCTATGTCCTGTCCCTCCATCCCTTGTCCCCAGTCCCTCTCCAGCTCTCCTGAAGCCCCTTTAAGCCCTGGAACTCACCAGGAACGTGGCTCTCTCAAACAGCAGCACTTCATCTGCCTCAATGATCTGAGCAAAGTTCCTCAGGTTCATCTCCAGCTGCTGCACGTTGGGGATCAGCTGGTACACGATGCTGGACCAGGCCTGGTGACACACACACAACATGAGGGGTCACCAGCACTTCTTGGGTTCCCAATGTCCTCAGAGAGGGATTATTTGTAGTTCTGGGTGTCGACAGCCTGGGCAACACTGAGAAGCTTCTCCCACCTCAGGTTCCTACGGTGGACACCACCAGAGGAAGCCCAGACCTGAGGTGATTCTTCACCACCTCAAGTTCTTCTCCACATCACTCAGGGAAACCATAATGCCCCTAAGGAGGCTCAAACCATCCTCATTTAAAGCTGGCAATCCTTCAGGTATTTCAGTCTGGAGGAAGGTCAGATCACAGATGAACACTCGGCAGCCCATCCCTGATCCAAACACAGAGCTCCACCCTATCCCAAGGAGCCAGGAACAAGCCCAGGAGGGGATGGGGATGCTGGGATCAACATCTGTGCTCCTCCAGACTGGGATCCTCCCAGCTCAGCTCCCCCTCTCTGCCCCCCTGCTGACCCAGTGGGTGGCACTGCCTGACCAAGCCCTTCCCCAGGAGTCAGCTGGATATTTGGGATGCCTGTTTGCCAAGTCCCTGATATTTGCCAAGCACTCCTGACTTTTTAAAATTACTTAACTAAGCCCAGGATGCCCTGACACCATTTACACCCCCAGAAGGAGCTGCTGCACAACTGACCAGAGCCAGTCTCTGCCACACCACCACTCCCCTCCTCATTCTCCTGTCTCCAAGTGGGAAGGCAGATCTGGAGAGGGAGCTGTACAAACCTTGTAAAGGGTTTCATCCCAGATGGAGGTTCTAAAACAAACACATTCCAAGGGCCGGGAGAGGCGTTTCAAGTCCTCCTCACGCTCCTTAAAAATCTGGGAGATGAAAAGACAGAGCAGCAGTTGAGTGGAAGCAGTTCTGCCTGTGCTGTGGTTGCTGCATGGGATTACGGGAAGACTTTCAAATGGATCACTGGAGAAGGGACAGGAGCAGAGCAGCTGTCTAGGACAGGCTGGGAGAAACCAGCTCCCAGTGCTCCCAGTGAGCAGCAGGGCCACACAGACCATGGATGTCTTGCTAGAGAATCCCAGACTGGTTTGGCTTGGAAGGCACCTCAAAGTTCATCTCATTCCACCCCCTGCCAAGGGCAGGGACACCTTCCACCAGCCCAGGTTGCTCCAAGCCTTGTCCAACCTTCCAGGGACGGGGAATCCAGAACTTCCCTGAGACCTAAAGCTGAAATAACTGCAGGTGTTGTGAAGTGGGAGTGAAGGTGGACAGGCTGGAGTGTCCCTGAGGACCTAAACTGTGACAAATCCCTGGCAAAAATCTCCATCACTGAGAGCAGCACAGGAGGGAAGCACCTGAGGGCCCTCAGGATGAGCTCACACAGACTCCTCTGCCCATACCACACTGTGCCCTCAGTTCTGGGCACCAAAAAAGCACAGCAGGGGACCAGCAAAGCCCAGCCAGGCTCCTCTGGAACTGCTGGGACAGGAGCAGGACAGCCAGCAAGGGGAACACACAACCACCACCCTCACCTGGGCCTTGTGGGAACATGACAGAACATGAACCAAGCCCCATGAAATGCTGGGCCAACACCATGTGGTTGGTGAATTCCACCACAGGCTTCACTAAGATCTACAGAAACAGAGATTTAGCCCAGTATTTGCATGGTCTTCTGAGCAGCAGATACCTAAAACAGGTCTTGAGGAGTAGTAAGGCCCCTCTTCTGCCCACCCCTCCCTTCAGGGCCTCCCCTGAGTCTGCACCACTGGTTAAACCAGTATTTGTGCCCTAGTCCAGCCACAAATCTGGACAGGACTGCAGCTAAGAAGATCTTAGACTCATCCTTCAGCCTGGAGGGAAGTGACAAAAAGCTCCTTGAGCCCTCTGAGGGAGCTCTGAGCTGTTTCTGCCTGAACTGGAGGGCAGAACTAGAACTGGAAGAGGAAGATCTCTGCTCTCAGACAGTACAAGGGATCCAAAGCCAACCTGCCACGTGGAAAGGTCTGTCTGTGCAGGGAGGTCAGCTCTGGTTTAAGCCACAGGACCTGCATGTTCCCTCTGCAGGTGCCCAGGCAAAACTCAGCAGGAACTGGTAAAAAGTTTAAAAAACCTCTTATTTCTGACAAAAACCAGCAGCCTGAAGTGGTCTCCAAACTCCCTGCAAGGCAGGGAGTGGCCAAGCAGTTGGGGATGTGCTCAGACCCACACAGCTCAACTCCTTTGGGTTATCAGGAGCTGTCCAAGCACAAAGAGGTTTGTAGGAATTCAACATCTTCCCACATGCCTGTGACCTTTCAAAAGCTCCAACCAGAACAGAAGCATCTCTGGAAGGCTGATTCCCAGCCTTTGTTTAGGTGCTTGTGTGCTTCAGAGGATCTCTGGGCAGGCAGAGCAGGATCAACCAAGAGAGACCACCTCCTGGTTAGGTGGGAAAGTTCCACCTCTTATTTTCTGGTGATGCTTTAGAACAGAGCCTGTGAGGGACTGAAAGCAGCAGCTGAGCTAAAAACAACCCTCACTGTCACCACCACCATCCAAATGGTGGGCAGGGAGTTTAAGGACCTGGATTTCCTTCAGTTCCACCTCCCTTCTGAAGCCAAGGTGTGCTGGGACCTCTGGAATGAGCACTGTGAAGGGAATGGCTTTGAGTGGTTGTCACTAAAAATCACTGCTTCTGTTCTCCATGACATTATAGGATGACACACTTCAAAAAGGCAGGGAAAGCTCAGAGGGCTCTGCCAAGCCTGAATATCTGAAAACCCTTTGAGGAACAGCCCTGGCAGGGCTGTGTGTGATGTGACACCGCCCTGCACCGGCACAGGCAGGAGATGCTCCGTGGGGAAGCATTTCCATGGCAACTCCCGGCTTCTCACCAGATCCCGCTGGTCCTCCTGCACCAAGTCCATCTTGTGCACCAGGCAGAAGATCTTGGCATCGGGGGAGTTCTGCAGAATGGCCTCCAGGCAGGACTGGTAGTAGTGCATGTCCTTCTCCAGCTCGCGGCTCTCCACGTCGAACACGTAGATGAGAACCTCCACGTTGCGGAAGATGTTGTCCCTCTGGCTGGTGAAGTAGTTCTCCATGAAGGTGTCCTGCCTGAGGAGCAGAGCAGGAAAGAAGGAGACTCCTGTTAGAGCAGCCATGAAATGCCTGGAGAGGTCAGGAAGGTACAAAGTGTAAAATCTCAAGGCCTGAATTTGGAGCTGCAGATCCCGACACAGGAGCCCACACCAGAGCTCCATCCCCACGACAGGGTTCCCTGAGCACTCCCAGGCAGAGCTGGAGCTCCTGAAGAGCACCAGCCCACCAGTTCCACCTGAAGCTGCAGCTTCCCTCCGTGTCCTAATTCTGGATCCACACTAGCTTCTAAAGAGCTGCTTATAAAACCCCCCAGCAGCAGAAGCAGATAAAATATGACCAAAGTCTAGCCTGTTATCCCAGGATTTCAGTCTCCTCTGGCTTGGCTGAGTGTGGGTCAGATGATGCACAAGGCCATGGAGCTGAGGAAGCTGAGCAAAGCTCAGCTGTGGCTCGATCAGACAGAGAGCCTTCCTCAAAAAGCTGCTTCCAGGAGCCACAGGATCGCTGGCAACCTTCAGTATCACCTCTCTGCACACACCCCACTTGGAACAAGCTGGTGATGGGCAATTCCAAGAGCAGCAGCACCTCCCAGCACCTCAGGAGGAAACCCAGGTGGAGGATTTTCTTGGCACACAAGCACCACGCTCCTCCCTTGGAGCAGAATCTGCTGTTCCATCCTCACCTGATTCCCCACAGCCACCCCCACAGGACTGAAAAGGAAAGGAATAAACAGTACCTACCCTCCACAGTCCCACAGGTTTAACACCAGGTTTCCCAGGAATCTGACATGGGAATGCTCCACATCAACTGCACAGAGACAATAGGAGTTTACTGACTGTACCACACACCTGGATCAGAGCTGTCTCCTCCAAAGATCAGCAGAGAATCATGGAATGGTTTGGGTGGGAAGGGACAATAAAGCCCATCTTGTTCCGCCCCCTGCCATGGGTGCTCCAAGCTCAGTCCATCCTGGCCTTGAACACTTCCAGGGATGGGCCCTTTCTCCCAACACAGCCCCCAGTTGGTAAAATCCCACCTAAACACCACTGTTGGACATTTCCCACAGGAATTCCAGCCTCCCTGCTCAGGACACTGCTCTCCTGAGAAGTGCAGCAGGTGCCCCCCCATCAACCACACAATCCCTGATCTCTGGGATATTTTAGGAATGATTTTATTTGCATGAAACTCTGCAAGGCCTGAATCCAGCCTTGACAAAATAAACCAGTAACGCAGAGAATGGAAACTTCAGAACAGGCCAAATTATCACCAATCCCTGACATTAAGTCCTCACATAAAATCCTTCCCTGTGAGGAAAGTCAGATATGGACAATTCATCCCCTTCTTTCAGAGGGATCATTTCTTGCTTTTTCCCATCAATGGCTGCTTGGAAGGGGAAAAAGAAAAGGTACAAGGCACTAATAAAGCCCAGTGTTTCATCCTGCCAAAACCATGGGTGGATTGCAGGATCCCTGTGCTGGAGATCAGCTGGATACAACAGGAACGCTCCACCAACACGAGGAGGCTCTGACACTCCTCCACTGACAGGTGTAGCTGCAGCAAAAGCTGCTTCATGATCCCCAAACAAAAAAGGTTAAGGATAAAAGTCAAACAATAAAGCAGTAAAAGTGGACCCAGTCAATAAAGCAGCAAAACTGAAGGCAGTGCTGTCTCCTCCTTCCCTCTCCAGCTTCCTGCCTGTCCCCGGCTGACCTCCAGGGAGCTCCTTGTGAGGTGTGGCAGTGGGAGGACCAGCAGGGACACACCTACTCCAGAGGAGAGGCAGGAATTGCTGCAGGGAATGGTCCCACCCTGTTAATGAGGGGGTTTGAGCCCTGAGAGCTGGGAGTGCAGACAAGAGCAGCCTTACTGGTGGCCCCCAGGCGCCGCGTGTCCCGGGCGATGTAGTTGGCAAAGATGATGGATCTCATGCTGGTCTTCCCAGACCCACTTTTACCCATCAGCAGCACCTGGGAGGGGAATAAAACCAGGAAGAATTAGGTATGAAACAGCACTAAGGCCTTCACAGCCCTCTCTGGTTGCTGTCTCACTGCCAAAGCCACCCAAACACAGCACTGACACGTTTCAGCTGGGACTGCACCAGGAGACAGGCAAAGAGCAGTACCAGGCCTGGGAAGCTGGACATGGGCATCCTTAACTCCTTGCTATCCATGGGCACTGGACTGTGGTCAGACTGAACACCTTCTCCCAGCACAGCACTTGGGAAGAGCAGGAGCTGCCTCCCCCTTTCCCAGCCCCTCACACCTGCCCTGGCACCACAGCAGGAGCCCTGATGGCTCTGATGGCAGCAAAGGGCTTTGCCAGGACAGAGGAACAGCTTTGTCTCAAGCCTTTAAGGCCAGACTGGAAACAATCCCTCTCCTTATCCTAATCACAGGATGGTTTGGGTTGGAAGGGACATTAAAGATCATCTGATCCTGTTCTTCTCCTTGTAATATGACTTGTTTTCTCTTCCCCAACAGAAGTTGAAACAGAAGAAATACCAGTGACAATTGAAGTTTCAGGGGTTACAAGACCATTAAAAAAAAGAAGTTAAAAGCAGGTGGGACAGCCCAGGTCAAGGGCACAGTGTATGGGGGACACCTGAGTCCAGAGTCTTGTCTGCAGGACATCAGGCCAAAGGAGGGGTACCAAAAAGTAGGGCATGCTGAGGCCTGGGGAGTGGGGTGAGGGGAGACCTTGCCACAGGGCAAGACTTGACACCGTGATCTAAAAATAAAAATAAAAAAAACCAAAACAAAACAACAGCAGCAGCCAACACAGACTTGCTCACAAAACCCAGCTGTTAAACAAGTTCCAGTTACAGAGCCAAATCCAGCCTTTGGCAACAGCTCTGGAAGTCTCCCATCAAGGAGAAGTTTAAGGAGAGCAGGGGAAGTTTAAGGAGTGAAGGACACTGGCCAGGAGGGCGCTTGCTCCACTGCCACCCTCTCTCTGTGACAGCACAGCAGGAGCTGCCACAATTTCACGGGAACACCGTGGCAGAATCCCACCTCCTGCTTACTCCAGTCGTTCCTGCAGCTCCTCACAGGCTGAGAGAGCCCTTGGCCAAGCCTCCAGGATTTGGGAACAAGGCCTGTCCCTGAGAGAGGGAGGCTGTGCTGTCCCCTGAGCTCAACCCAGGGAAGGCAGCACAGCACTCATTTCACAGCACCAGCACAAACACCACAGCCAGGAATTCCATTCAGCCCACAGACAAACCCAAAGCCCAAGTTTTGGGCTGCAGAGGCCTTGCAAAGGGATCAACCAGCAGGCAGGAAACCCAATCCTAGCACACCACGGAAAACCAGCCACCTATTCCCTACACAGCCCCTTTAACAGCTTTGGATGTGCTTCTGCTGGAATACACCCACCCCTTCAATTCCCAGAGGAGCTGCTCCTTCCCCAAGGCTTAAATTCCAAGCTCCAAGGAGCCCTGAGCGAATTATGGGCTCCCCACCGAGCTCCTGGGACAACTTGGAAGGCTCTCCCCTTGGAAGGGCCCTCTTGGAAAGGCCAAGGAAGTGGGTTGGAGCAGATCCTCTTCCCCCACGCTGAGCACAGGGGTTTGCAGAGGGTTTTGCAACACACCCCAGAAACAGTTGCTCATAGTTCTGGTGGATGGCCCTGCAATCAGCCAGGAATTAACCCAATTTTAATGTCTGGCACTTGATGCAGCCACTGATTCCAAGAGCCTTCCAAGGCACCTGAGCCCCAGAGGGACAGACACAACAAACAGTGACATTCCCAGATGGGGATAGGGAAGGAAAACCCAACAGCACACGATCCCCCTCCCAGTCCTTACCTTCTTCTTCATGGCTGTGCTGGGCATCACACACCTGCCGAGAGAACCCCACCTTGGATCGCTGCTTTCCTTGGATCACCGCTCGCCCATCCCGATCCCACTGCCGGCAGCGCCGGGGGAGGGCTGGCACAGCCCTCCCCCTCCTGCCATGGGGAACTCCCGCTGCTGGGAAACCTCTGCCTTCCCGAAATCCCGAGATCGCTGCGGCCGGGCCGGGAGGGGTCAGCACCCCCCGCAGCCTCTTCCCAGGGGATGTCCCGTCCCTCGGGATGTTCCAAAGCCCCTTCCCGACGATGTTCCGCAGCCCCTTCCCAGGGGATGTCCCTTCCCTTGGGATGGCCCCAAAGCCCCCTCCCGAGGATGTTCCACCGCCCATTCCACTGGGATGGCCCCAGAGCCCCTTTTCCCGGGATGCCCTTTCCCTTCCCCGGGGATGCCCCTTGCCCAGGATGTCCCACAGCGCATTCCAGTGGGAGGGCCCCAGAGACCCTTCCCCGGTTCCCCTTCCCTCCCTCCCCGCCCCCATCCCGTGGGCCCTGCAGCGGCCTCCCCGCGGGCCGGGCGGTGCCCGCGGTACCTGCGGCGGCGCTGGGGGCTCGGGGGCTGTGCCGGGGCGGCCCCGGTGCCTGCGGCGGCTCGGGCCGGCCGGGGGCGGTGCCGCTGTGGCCGCCGGGGAGTCGGGCGGCGGCGGCGCTGGGGGCCGGGCGGGGGCGTGTCCCAGTTTATCCCGGCAGTGTATCCCGGTGTATCCCGGCGGTGTGTCTCGGTTTGTCCCGGTGTATCCCAGTTTATCCCGCCGTGTCCCTATTCCCCCCCCCCGCCGCTCACGGGACTCAGCGCTGTGGGGCGGCCGTCGCCGGTCACGTGAGAGCGCGAGCGCGCCCCGCCCGCCACGCGCGCGTCCCCCCCTCCACCCCGTCAGGAAGCCCCGGCCGCCATCTTGAGTGAGGGCAGCCCTTTGCTGGCACAGGGCATGGGTCGGTGTCGAGGGTGTCCTGGAGATCCCAGCGATTCCCGGCGGTCCCGGGGGCGCGCACAGGGCATGGGGTTGATGGCGGGGGTGTCCTGGAGATCCCCGGCGGTCCCGGGGGCGCGCACGGGGCAGTGGAGCGGGGCCCGCCGCAGCAGCGGAGCTCCGCGCGGCAGCGGGGACAGGCGGTAGAGCTTTGAGGCGCCCGAGCACGGTGCTTTCCAGCGCCTCCCATATGGTCTAGCGGTTAGGATTCCTGGTTTTCACCCAGGCGGCCCGGGTTCGACTCCCGGTATGGGAAGCTTCACCTTTTCCTCCCGGGAAGGAGGAATTCTTGCCCCGTCTGTCCGTTTTCCTCAGATTTCCCTCGCAAAACTCTTTCGGGCTACGTTTTTGCACCTCCGCAGCAGAATTTCTCGACTCTTGAAGCCGCAGGCTGCGCTTTGCTGCTGCAAACGCTGCCGCCCTCCTGTTTAAAACCCTTCGAGGGCGTTGGGCCGCACAGCCTCTCGCTAATTAACACGCCGTTAATTGCCCTTTTCGCTAAGGCAAGCAAGATTCCTGCTTGTGTCCCAGAGAGTGTTTTAACCCAAGGCAAATAGCATTGTACGGCAACTCCAGCAGCAGAAATCTGCTGTAGATATACACCCATAGAAATATGTAAGTATTATACATGGAAATACATTACATATCTTATGCATAGAAATGTATTCTACTCTATCACAATAATATATAGAATACATTATCTATACATAGAAATATATATTTGTTATATATATATATATATATGTCATTTGTGGGGGGTTCATTGCTGAAAGGAAATCTTGGAGCAAAGCCAGGTGTGTCCAATGCCTTTGTCACCGAGGTGTCCACACTCTGGGTGGGCAGCAGATCCCACCAGGCTCATCCCCCAAAGCCCACCTGGGTTCCCATATGGAGGGCAGGGCAGTCCCCCATCCACTGGGAGAAGTTGGGGTCTTCCTGGGAGCCCCCCCAAAGCCGCGGAACTCAGAGGGGACATCCCCACCTGGCTGCTGTGGCCTCCTGAGTGCCAGAGATCCTGCGGGCAGCGGGGTCTCAGGAGACGCCGAGGGGCTGCTGCCACAAAGTCACAGCTTTGTCATCTCACGTGTCCCCTCTCAGTCTTGGCACCTCCCTTATTCCCCCTTTAGTGCCTTGTCACCCCATGTGTCCCCTCTGGAGCCCTACCATCTCCTGTACCCCCCTTTCAGAGCTCTGGCACTTCATTTATTCCCCTCAAGAAACTCCTCACCTCATTTATCCCCCTCAGAGCCTTGGAACCCCCTTTCAGTGCCCTGGCACTTCATGGATCCCCCCTTCCAGAGCACCTGGCACATCTGGGCTCTGAGGCAATCCCAGCATGGCAAGATTTTAGGGCATGGCCCCTCAGCTGCCTCTCCTGCCCAGGAAGCCCCTGCCCTGCCCTGCTCTCTGCCAGGGGCCCCGAGGCAGGTTTTAGGGGGTCCAAAGGCAGCTTTTAGGGGGTCCAAAGGCAGCTTTTAGGGAGTTCCTTGGAGGACTGTGGGTTCCAGGGAAGCTGGGCTTGTCCTGGGGGGGATTGTGGGGCTTGGCAGGAGCCCCCTCAGCTTCTCTCAATCTCTTCCAGCCAGGAATCCCCATGGAAAGAGGGTCTCTGTGTCCCCTCTTGAGGAAAAGTCCTGCTGCTGTTTTTTTGAGGCTACTTAAATGACTTCCAAGACCCACCCAGAGCTATAAATACCTGATGCAGTTCCATCTTCAATAAGAGGCTCTAAACAGCACTAAAACCAGGGGCCAGATGTCTAAATGAGAAAGAACTACAGACTTCAGGCACCACCAAAGACATTTTGTTCCTTTGAACCCCAGAATGAAGATATTTCTGCCAAGATCTCAGCATGCATCTTAAGAGAAAGGAATTATTTTGGCCTACAAGAGGACACAGAGAGTATCAAGAATATTCAGTGCAGGGTCTCCCAGAAGGACTTTCCTCCTCCTCCTGCTGCTCTCACAGATCTGGGACACTCTGCTCTGAGGCCTCCTTGTGACATCCACAGCCTTGGGAGTTCCCTGAGCTGTTCTGGGAGCAGATCCATGAGCGAAGGAAACCATTCCAGAGGGCTGGAGAGAGGAATGTGCAGCTCCAAAATGCATAAGGAAAGACAGAGCTGACTGACAGGTATCCTTAGGGATAGAGCAGCCACTTGCAGCTGGATGGGCTGGGAGGGAATTCCCAGGTTCCCGACTGGGAAGGGAAGCTCATTGCTTCCAAATCCGGGAATGAGGCAGGAAACATTCCTTTGGAGCCAGGGCAGTTTCTTGGATGCTGAATAAAAATATCCCCACAGCAAAGGAAAAGGTTTCCTAAGAGCATCAATGGCAGCTGAAAAGGAGTTTTAGGACACACAACACCCACATTCCATGTGCTTCCCACAAAACTGGGGTTGGCAAGGACTGGAGGTGTCCTGGGCAATCCCTGCTCATAGAGCAGGTGTCCAGGGCTGTGTCCAGAGAACCTCCAAGGAAAAATAGAGGGAATGGCATTGATTGCTCAGAGGATTTCAGGCTTTTAAGCTTTTTAAAGTCTTTTTTCCCCCCCATTACTTAAAGCTTTTAAGAGCCAACACAGCCAAAATTGGTTTTAGGTCTCTCCTTTGAAGACTGGGAAAGATGTGAGGAAAACATCCCCCTGTTCCCTTTTATATTTGCTTTTAAGAAATGTTTTATATTTGCATTTCAAACATCAGGATAACAGCCTTGTTAGAGGCATTTCACCTCTTCATTCTTCTATCTGAACCCTTAGATGTCCCAATTAAGCAGAAAAAAAATTAAAGGTGTGATTAGCTGAGAAGGGGGACCAGAATAAAACAGTTTTTCCTCTCCCACCCCCCTTCCTTCTGTACCTCTCCCTTTAAATGTGTCCTTTAAAGCACATTTTCAAAGAGAACAGTACAAAGTCAGAATGTGCTGATAAAATCCTTCTCATTCTCTGATATTTTTATAGGAGAGAAGCTCGTCTGCAATTTTGAAACCAAGTTTATAATTTATCTGCACAATGACAACATTCACTTGCTGCCAGCACCTGCTCTGAGCTTGTTCATCAAGGGCCTCCTGCTCAGATTGTGGTAATTGCATTTTGAAATTGTTAATGTTTGAAGCTTTATTGGCCAAACTTTCACTGGAACAATCCCAAAGGCTCCCAAACCTGCAGCTCAGGGACTGTGCAGGAATAACACTCCACGAGACAAACTCCAACCACTGAACTTCTCTGCACCTTCAGCTCTTGCTTTCAGGACTGTGACAGGCAATAAACAGCCAGAAAATGTGCATCTGCACTATTTCCCTGCCAGGCTGCCCTGGATTTGGGGTTCAGCAGTGATGGGGGGTTTGCACAGGGACAGGAAGGCAGCAGCACTCCGATCAGCTCTTGTATGATCAGCAGTACAGGAAACAAGCTTGGAAGACTTAGTTCCAAAAATATCAAGGTTTTCCTGGACTAAAATAGCCTCATCACCCAGGTAGTGTTTAATTGGCTTCATTACTGCAGATAAAGCAGTGACCCCACAGGATTGTCACCGGGAGCAGCTCCCAACCAACCAAACAAAAAACATCCCACTCCCCCCCAAAAAACCCAAAACCCTAAAAAAAGGTGCCAGAACTTTAAGAGCAAACATTTTGTGTCAAATGTGTCCAAAAGCAGTTCAGTGTGCTCTGATAACACCTGTGCCAAGGCTCCACCATGTGCCAGGACACTTTGTTCCCAGGGGCTGGCTGTGGGGCTGCAGCACTTCCTGAGCACATGGAATGTTTTAATCTGCTTTCCCTGCTTTTGTGGGAGAGACACGAGATGAGGTAACAAACCCCTCCCTCTGCCCCCAAAACTGACTGCAGGGCAGCAATAGCTGTTGTTTAAAGGAGGGGAAAAGCAGGGCACTGTGTGAAGCACCTGAAGGGACCAAAAGTGTGGGCTGACAGTGAAACCT